AGAATGATGATTAAAGTCTACATTCTCAAGTATTCTCATATCCTGAATTTAGACTATGACTTATTAAGAAATGGTCTTCCCTGGTGGCTCAGAGGTTAGTGTCTGCCTCCAATGCGGGAGACCCGGGTTCGATCCCTGGGTTCGATCCCTGGGTCCGATCCCTGGGTCCGGAAGATCCCCTGGAGAAGGAAATGGCAAGCCACTCCAATATTCTTGCCTGGAGAATCCCATGGATGGAGGAGCCTGGTAGGCTGCAGCCCATGGGGTCACAAAGAGTTGGACACGACTGAGCAACTTCACTTTCTTCTTTCACTTTCTATTAAGAAATAGAGCTTCCTTGGTGGCTCAGTGGTAAAGAATCTGCCTGCAATGCAAGAGACTCAGGATACTCAGGTTCCATCCCTGGGTCCAGAAGGAGGAGAAAATGGCAATCCAATCCAGTATTCTTGCCTGAAAAATCCCATGGATTTAGGAATCTGGCAGGCTACAGTCCACAGGGTTGCAAAAAGTCAGACACGACTGACCACACACAAGTACCTTCTAAAGAAATAGTTTTGTGGGGGGGGGGGGAATCCCCTTGGCGTGAGTGAATAGTTGCTCTGCCACCTCCCTCCTTTCCATTCAAGTTCCTTCTCCCAATTCTTTTCCACCTTCAGTGTGCAAAATCGTAGCAAGGCTGAAAAAGAAAAAAAGGCTAAAGAAGGAAAATAATGCCACAATCTAAGAATCGTATTAAAAACCTGTTTCTACAAGAGTTAGCACGTGGCAATAGGTGCTAAATAACTTGAAAATGGAAACAAATCCATTGGGTTAGCAATGACTAAATTGAAATAACAATAGAAAACCTTTTTTGAGGGCTTCCCATGTGTTTGGTAATGCACTGAATGAATGATTGACATGGATTTGGGCTCATTTTATTACTACAACAATTCTATTAGGCTGGAGCACTCAGTTACTTAATTAAACAGTAATCTAGGTGTTGTAGTGAAGGTATTTTGTAGTTGCCCTTTGATCTGCAATCAGTTGACTTAAGGAAGATTATCTTTGATAATATGGTTATCTAATTGGTTAAAGGCCTTAAGAGCAAAAAATGGTTTCCCTAAGAAGAAATTCTGCCTCAAGGCTGTAGCATCAATTCTGCCTAATAGCCTGCCCTACAGATTTCAAACTCAAAACTATAGCAGCTACCTGAGTTTCCAGCCTGCTGGCCCACCATACAAACTTCCAGGTTGCCAACCCCCTTAAGCACAAGAGCCAGTTTCTTAAAATATTGTCATCTATCCATCTATCTGTCATCTATGTCCTACTGGTTCTGTTTTTCCTGGAGATAATACAGGTAGACATTTATTTCCCCCCATTTTAAAAATAGAGATGCTGGGGTTTGAGAATAATTTGCTGCTTAATAGGTGGTAAGCAGAACCTGAGCTTCAACACAGAAGCTGAATCTAGAGCCCTTGAAAACAACCATCATACTTGTGATTAAGGAAAACGTTGCTGTCTGGAGGTGTCACTGGAGTCCTGTGCCCAATTTCTACTAATCTTTAAAGGGTCATTCAAGTACAGTGTATCTGCCTGGAGAATCAGATAGCCTAGAAGTTTAAATGAATCTGAACTGATGAACAGAGCATAAATCCATTCCTCTTAAGACACTGCCCCTCCAACCTCTCCACCTTAAAACTCTTCACATCTACCTTTTTGCTGCCCAGTTATCCTAGCCAAGTTGTGTCTAGCACACTCAGGGTCCTGCTAGTAGAACATAGTCTCCTCAAAGAGACCGTTCTTTGGAAGATATCACAGGGAAACAGAACAGAGAGTATTCATTCAAGACCCCCTTCATCTCATGTCTAGCTGTTGTGGGCAAACAGCTGGAACTGCTCCAGTGGACTGCCTGCCGCTGAAACCAGATGATGTTCTCAAGCTTCCAGACTGGCAATCACAATCCTGAAGCCAGATACATTACACACGCACTCGTCACCACAGCCCAGCATTTCTGGGGGTCATTTTCCTGTAGAACTAAAATCATACATTCTTCAAATTATAGGTGAGTCCTAATTCCATGACTCATTAGGGTTGATTAGTTTTTAAAGCACTACTTTTAAAGAAGCTTCTTCTAGTAAGTCAGACAGAAAAAGACAATTATGATAACAGTTATATGTAGAATCTAAAAAAAGATACAAATGAATGTATTGACAAACAAAAACAGACTCAGAAAACAAACTTACGGTTACCAAAGAGGAATGGTGGGATGGGGCGGGATAAATGAGTTTGGGACTAGCAGACACAAACTACTATATGTAAGATAGATAAACAACAAGGTCCTATTGTATAGAACAGGGAACTCAGTATTCTGTAATAACCTATATGGGAAAAGAATCTGAAAAAGAATAAATACATGAATATGTATAAGTGAATCCCTTTGCTGTACATCAGGAACTAACACAACACTGTAAATTAACTATATTCCAATATAAAATGAAAACAACATTGTAGAGCAACTACAATAAAAATTAATAAAACAATAAGTAAAATAAAATGTAAAAATATGACTTTAATCCAATAAGTGAAATGGAATTACCAATAAAAATTTTTACGTTAAAGAGAAAGACTCAGAAATAGATTCACAGACATAGAAAAGAAATTCATGGTTACCAAAGGGGGAAGGAGGAAGAGGAATAAATTAGGAGTTTGGAATTAACAGAGACACAGTACTATATAGAAAACAAACAGTAAGGACCTACTGTGTGGCTGATATATATGTAAGATATATGCAGTATCTTACAATAACTTGTAATGGAAAAGAATCTTAAAAAGAATATATACATATCCAGTTTACTGTACAACTGAAACTAACACAAAATTGTAAATCAACTATACTTCTATTAAAATAAAATAATAAGGAGGCGTCTTCTGAGAAGACAGCTTTTGAACAGAAATGTCCAGCTGAGCAAAAAGTTCCAAATGGCCCAGATTGTAGGGGTTCAAAAAATTAGAGGATCTAAGGGAAGTGAGACAGGCTGAAAATAAATTTAACCTAAAATAAATTTTAACTGCCTACTTACCAGGAACACAAGAACATTTACTTTTAGGGAAAGTCTAGGTTACACTGCTATGGAATCTGTGAATTCTCAAATGATAAAAGGAAAAAAGAGAGAGGCCCCTGATGAGTGTGGGTGGTACAGCTGCGAGACAAAGGTTTTCGAAAATGCTGCCATTTGTAAAATGAGTTTAAAATAATATTTTGACAAGACTTCACGCCTATAAAGGGTATTAGTTAGTTTGGAATTTCCTGCAGTGTTTAGATGCTTTGTGTTTTGAACACACTGACTGATTAGTTAATCTGCAGCTGCTTCTGGGTGCTCAGCAATTTTTACTGTCTTGTTGCTAGGAGATGAGGACTTCCCCGAAATCGCCAGTGATGGGTCCTGTGAAGAGCTGCTGGGATCTGACCACTGGCCACAGTGCCACCAAGTGGTCAATCTGCAAAACGGTGGGACCAAGTTTTCCACGGCTCTAAGCGATGGACATTAGTTTGAGTAGGCTCCGGGAGCTGGTGATGGATAGGGAAGCCTAGTGTGCTGCAGTCCATGGGGTCGCAAAGAGTCGGACACAACTGAGTAACTGAACTGAACTGAATCACAGCTCTCTAAGGTTGGACCAAGTGGCAAAGAACCCACCTGCCAATGCAGGAAACGTTAAGAGATGAGGGTTTGATCCCTGGGTTGGGGAGATCCCCAGGAGGAGTGCATGGCAACCCACTCCAGTATTCTTGCCTGGAGTACCCCACAGACAGAGGAGCATAGCAGGCTACAGTCCATAGGGTCGCAGAGTCAGACACGACTAAAGCAACTTAGCACACAAAGGTCATCTCTGTTCCAGAGAATCAGCAGGTTCACTGAACAGTGGGCAATTGTTTATTCTCTTCATACTCTTCCCAACACAGTGAAGACTTTTTTTTCTCCAATGAACACATCATGCCACAGCCAGCAGGATGGTGAATGTAAAGAATGTTGGACTGGTTGGCAGAAGGCATTGTAGTTTCCCACTAATTTGACCTCTTTTGGACTTAAATCTTCTCTTCTAAACAATGGGGATTTGGGTTAGGTCTCCCAACGTCCCATTCCTTCTACTCTACAAGTCTAATTCTTTGCTTTTTTCATGTGTGGTTTTTGTAGAGTAGCATAACCTGGAAGCTGACTCTGGTCCAGAAGCTCTAACAGATCTTGCTTCTGTTGCTTCAAAGCACGTTTGGCAGGTGGCAGTAAGGCTGGGGGGTGAAAGGAGGCACTGTGCCCACAGGAGAGGCAGAAGTGCTGGCCTTATCTGGCAACTGACTCTGCTCCCCACGTGCTTGGTGGAGGCCCAGTGGGTAAAATTGTCCTTGCTGAGAGCAGTGGCCCAGAGCTCCAGCCCTGGCTCCAGGCACCTTGGGGAAACCTGTGAGGGAAGGTCCACGGGAAAGCTGATGGACTTGGAGCAGCAGGCTGGTGGGTCTGCTGCTTTCACTGAAGATTAGAAGGAGAAACCTGAATCCTACTTCGGAGGCTGCAGCCCTGCCCCTTCCTCTGACAGTTTATGGGCACCTGGAATTGGCTCCAGGGAATTGCTCTCCTCGGAACCTTGCTCCCCATCATTAGCTTTTTTGAATTCCTGTTTCGAGGCCATATGAGTCCATATTCATGATGCACCTCATCATGTGCCTGGTAAGGAGACTGAAGTCGTTTTCTTATTCCCCACAATAGCCTGCCTCCCTGCGACTTAAACTCTGGTGCTTGGCAGGTAAATGAGTTATGGTGAATGTTGTTCTTGTATTGCTGAGTGCATGCAAGCTAAGTTGCTTCATTTGTGTCCCACTCTGTGCGACTCTATGGACTGTAGCCCTCCAGGTTCCTCTGTCCATGGGGATTCTCCAGGCAAGAATACTGGAGTGGGATGCTATGCCCTCCTCCAGGGGAAACTTCCCAACCCAGGGATCAAACCTCATCTCTTAAGTCTGCACTGGCAGGTGAGTTCTTTACCACTGGTGCCACCTGGGAAGCTCTTGTGTTGCTGGGATTTATGAAAATCTTTATTAATCTGTACATTACATCCAGTTTCCTCCAAATTCAGGATCAAGTGAGACAACAGGAATCCTAAATATTAAACTAAACTAAAAAAGTACAGTGAATTAACAACATGCTGAGAAAATATAGCTGAATTATCATAGGTCTTGAGACTTTAGAGCTCTTGCATTTGTGATTTGATTAACTCTATTTGTTATTATTTGGGGGAATTTTTTTCTAAAAAACTAATCTCAGTAAGACTTTGCATTAGATCCTTTCACTGAATTTCCACCCACTGGGGTAACTCACAGAACATTAAAGACAGAACAGAGTTTAGTAATCATCTAGTCGTTTTCAGTTTAACTGAGACCAAAAATATATACATAAATAAAATTAAACTAAATCAAATTTTATTTTTTTAGAATTTAGCTTTTAAAAATAAATAAAAGTACTGCAGGGTCTCTTCTATTTTTTAACAACTATGAATCGAAAAAGTCAAGGGCCAAGTGACATCAAGCTCTGACTCACTTTGTCATTTTTGAATATCATATGTGGAGGAGAAAGAAAAGGAAGAAAAAATACAAGGTATTCTTTTTATCTTTTGACCTGGTTGATTGAAGGCAGCACCTCCAGTTGAACACATCAGCTCTATAATGTTTTGTGGATAGAATATTTTATTGTTCTCATTCTTTGCCCCCCAAAACCAAGCCCAGTTATGTCTTGTTTCCCTGTGTCTGTGAGACAGGAAATACCAGTTTGTTTCCAGTCTCAGATGTTCAGCACCATGAGCCCAGGAACCCAGCCACAGCCAAGGAAAAGGTGGGGGCCAGCTCACCACATTTCTCGGCTCTCCTGTTAAGAACATCATGCTCTCCTAGACCTCAGATTCTCACCCAGGCAGCAGCTGTTAGGCCCACAGAGGTCTGGACGGGCTTGACTGCCCAAGTGTTCCCTCGAGAGACACCTACCATGTCAAGGAAAGGGCCACAGACCTGCAGCTAGGGGATTGAGTGTGAAAACCAGTTCAGCCACACTCTGACTTAAGCAAGTCCCATAACGCTGAGGTCCGGTTTCCTCACCTATAAAACAGAGATGGTCATAAGAACATCACAGGCTTTTTTAAGAGGATAGCATGAGACAATGCAGGTAATGTTGCTGAACTACTGATATTATTATTTGCAATTCTTGTTCACTAGGGTGTGAAAATGCACACCAATCTTGTCTGTAAACCTGTTATTGTTTAAACAAAGCATTTTTTAAATGTGCTCGTCCTGGATTTGAAATAATGGAGACCCGGCAACCAGAAGAAAATCTTGAGTTACCTTGGCCAAAGAGGAGTGTGAGCTTGGCGAGGGTATGATCATGGGTCCTGAGAGAGAGATGAGGGGCAGGAAGCACTGGCTGGAGAAACGGCCTCATGTCTACATGCTCAGGAGAAAGAAGAACCTGCTCCTTGCCCTTGCTGTCCCAGAGTCTGGGGTCAGCACCAGGCAGCGGAAGGTGTCTGCCTGAGTGGCAGAGCGCAGAGAAAAGGCATCTGCATGACTCCCATTGGCATTTTCTGGGCTTGCCCAGCCAGGTTCCCTGCGCATTGCTTGAATTTGACTCAGAAGGGAGGTAAGCATCCTAGACACAGCCTAGATGGGCCTGGATGTGAGGAAAATGGCAGGGCAACTTCAAACGCTGCAAGGCATCATCAGCTGGTTTCAAGAGAGAATGAGAATGAGAGACAGAAAGAGACAGAAATTAGGCCAACCAATAAGCTTTCTTTCCCTAAGCATCTTCATTAATATTCAATCACAGAAGGCTACCCGGGCAAGTTCTAGTATATTCTAACATATGGAGTGCTCTCCATAACAGATCTGGACAGAAGGTAATGTAAAAACATATAAAATATTAACACTTCCTAAATGTTGCTCAGTAGAAGAAATACAAGTCTCTGAAATGTGTCACACAGGAGATTTGATTTGGAACAGAAGCCTATAGTTAATAAAAATTCAGTAGGGAGGAGAAAAAGGAAACAGAATAAAATCAGGTTGAATCATCAATCAAAGACTGTTTATGCTTTTTGGACCTAATAGTAAATAAAAAGTCAGAAAGCATTCTTTTTTTTTTAATGCACATAACTAAAATAGTAAAGGGACTGTTGATCATAAATAAGCTCAAGGTGAAAAGCTACCTGTAAAACAAAAAAAGCAGCTAAATTAAAAAAGACAAAAACTAAAATCAATAGTGCATTCTACATAATAAAACATTTCCGTCAGAAAATTGAAAAAATACATAAATAGCTTGTATTTATAGTTAAACTTTTAACCTCTGGTGCATAATAATGAAAGAATTCTGAGAAATCAGACAAAAGTATTTGGCGGATTTGAATTAATGGGCCAAGCAAGCTTTTTTTCCTTGGCTTCCCTGTCAAACGAATCATAGATTGAGTCTTTGGTTATAGTTTTGGCCGATGGAGGGATTTCTGAGATGCCAACATAGTTTTTTTTGGCCATCCTTGAACTGGTTGTGATAGTATAGGCATTGCTTCGGTAACACTTCATCGAGGACATGCAGAAAGTCTCTTTCATGCCTCTCCTAAAATTGGCATTATAAATGGAATACAGAGTAGGTTTAGAGGCTGAGGAACTAAAGGATATCCACGTGATAGCAGTAAACACAAGGGAACTTTTCTTATAGTCTCGTTCATGGGGGTGCCACAGCTGAGCGACATGAAAGGGCAGCCAGGAGAGCAAAAATAGCAAATTTAAAATGAGGAACATCTTGATTGTTTTCACTTTTGTCCTTGGGACAATGTTCATGGTCCGCCTCACTGTCCGGCCATCAGTGCCAATTCTCCAAATGTATTTTATGACCTTCTGGTAAAATAAGATTATGAGGATGCACGGGATCACAAAGCTCACCAAGAAATGGATGACAGTATAGGCGGTTCCTTCCCAAGAGGAGGGAAGGAAATAGTTGCAGTGGTTGTCCCAGCTGGAGCCGTAGAAGAACAACACAGGGGTCACAAAGGTCGCCTCGAAGATCCAGGATGCAGCGATCATCTTCTTGGCTTTCTCTCTGGACACCTTGAAGCTCAGCGGGTAGACGATGGTGTAGAACCGGTCTATGCAGATGGACAGGAGCACGTAGATCTGGACACCCGGGGTGAGATACTGAAAGTAGCGCACGGCCCTGCACATGGCGCTGCCCAGGGTCCAGCGGCCAGTGGAGAACTGCAGCAGGACAAAAGGCATGCTGGCCACGCTGACCAGAAGGTCAGCGCATGCCAGGGAGACCACAAAGTAATTGGTGGTGGACTGAGTCCTCCTGCTGCGGTGGATGACGAGACACACGAGGGAATTGCCAAAGATAGAAAACAACCACAGGGCCCCGAAGAAGATGCTGGCTGTGGCCACTTCCCCAGGGTTCGGTCCATACTGTGGATCTGTTCTGTTGCTCCTCCAGCTGTGCTCTGGGGAGAGCTCCGTCAGGTCTTGGCTCGGCAGAGGGGCGGCCGTCTCTGCGCAGCTGTGGTTGTGAAGAGGCACCAGCAGTGTAGGAACAACCAAAGGTGACTTGCTGTTATCCATTCTGTGAGCAAAAACCATATTCATTTTTCCCCTCTTAATTCTGGATAAGAAAAGAAGAATGAGGCCTCCTGTTAAAACGGTGTTACAAGGATTGATTCCTAAGGCTAACAATGATTTAGGATGCTTACGTCAATTGTCATTTGTCAAGGAGGACTTGTGTGTTTGTAGGAAAACATGACTACTACCCAGAAAAAGCTCTGGCCCCTGTTTCTCTTTCATTTTAGGGCTGTTTCAGCTGAGCGCAGCTCAGGGTCTTCCTGGCCTCCCCTCTCTCCTGAACTTCGTCAAATGTGGTGGAACACACAGCAAGCCCCAGTCCTCACTGACCCTGTTCCCTTCATGTGCTGGGGATCGCAGAGGGGTAGGGATCTCAGATCTGGCTCACTTTTAGGGTTTACCCCCAAATGAAGAACTGCTGGAATTCTGGGAAGCATATGAGAAGTTCCTGAATGTCCTAACACTGAAGAAGTGAGGCTGCAAGGGAGGAAAACTTGGGCAGATGGAAACACAGACTCAGCTATGGAAATAGCTAACAGGAATCTGAATGCAGACTGGCTGGCTACTGGGAAGGACCTTGTCCTCACTTACTGCAGAATTCCCATTACAGAAGCATCGTGGAAGCACATGGAGCAAACGTAACACTTTCACGTGAGCCAGAAGTAGCTCCTCATTTAATGACACAAAAACACAGCCCATTTTTCCCCAAAAGATGATGTGCTACCTATCGATGACATATTTGATGCTACTGTTGCTACTGTTTCATAAAACGACATTGACTGGGAATGTACAAGATGTCTCCTAATGAATGTAAAACCAGGTTGATAGAAACCTTATGGCATCCAGATGATTATAAGCAATCAACTCTAACTTTACCCAGACTTTAACTTTTTCTTACTACTGTTCAGTTAGGGGAATAAAGTTACACTTTTTAACAGGGAAAAACACTGTATCATTGTGAGCCATTCAATTAAAATTGAGGTGACTTTGGCTGGAGTCAGATTTTTAAGTTTTAATTTGGTCTGAATCTAGTAGGCAGAAAGAGAAAGCACAGCAACTGAAATCCATAATAACCAGGGCCGGGACACAGGGGAGGGCGCCCCAGCAACAGGCTCTGCCTCTTGCTCTTCTTGGGGGCAGCTGTCACTATACTTCAGAAAGAAATGTTTCTGTGGGGTCAAAGGACAGTTCCTAATGACCCATTTTTCCTTGAAGGATATTTGCAGTGATTTGTGCTAGGGAGAGGATGTTAATATATATTGGTGTCCTCACCAAGAAACCCCATTCGACAAAAGTCTGGCGCTCAGGGTGATGTACAAATGGCCAGGTTCATGTTCCCTTCAAGGCTTTTTTGTCCATGAAGCAGCCCTACTAAATTTCTTAAAGCGAAACATAAGGTAATTAGCCATTTTAATAACTAAAAGATCTTTAAGCATGCCTGGCTGGTTGATAGTAAGTTGTAAGACTAGCAACCATACTTTGCATATAAAAAATTAGGACACAGTCTGAAAACAGGACACAAGCTCTAAAATTAGTGCTGTCCTTGAAAATCTGTAATGCATGTGTGTCATCCTTACAAAATCAAAATCATCTTTCCACCTTTATGTGTGTAAAACCTACAACATTGAAAAAATAAAAAAACCTAAATTTTTTTTTTAAAGATTTAAAGTTTAAAAGGACTGATGCTGAAGCTGAAACTCCAATACTTTGGCCACCTGATACGAAGAACTGACTCTTTGGAAAAGACCCTGATGCTGGGAAAGATTGAAGGCAGGAGAAGGGGATGACAGAGGATGAGATGGTTGGATGGTATCACCAACTCGATCGGCATGAGTTTGAGTAAACTCCGGGAGCTGGTGATGGACAGGGAAGCCTGGAGTGCTGCAGTCTATGGGGTTGCAAAGAGTCGGACACGACTGAGCGATTAAACTGAACTGAAAGCTTAAAAATACAAGAGACAAGCAACATTCCCAGAGAGAGAGAGCGTTCTAAATTTGTGGGGGAATGCCTATGGCCTAAATAAAACAGGAGCTGGTGGGAAGGGCATTTTCCGTAGCTCCACACACACTTTGAAGCCTCTGAACTTCCTTCTGCTTCTTTCTTCCTCTCACAGCAAAACTCTGCAAATGAAACTCAAAATCACCACCACCACCATCACTGATGTGCTATGGGGGCCTTCTTCTGTCCCTTCCTCCTGCAGCTTTATAACGAGTGTGTCCGACCCTCCCCACCCCACACACACATACCCTCCTGGAAACGGGACAAGGGGACTTCCCTTGTGATCCAGTGGTTAAGACTCCACACTTCCACTGCAGGGGAGGCATGTTTGATCCCTCATCAGGGAACTAACATCCCACATGCTGTGGGGTGTGGCCAAATAAAAAAAAGAAATGGGACAAGATAGCCTGAGGAGTTGTTGAGTCTAGGTCTCACCTGATTGATGGCATGACTTTTCTGACTGGACCTAAAAGTGCTGCATCTCTGTTTACTCATTGTACACCAAGAAACTATGCTAGGTGCTAGGAAAACCAATGAAAAGTAAGGCCAGTAAAAGGGTAAATGTATAAACAAGCTGTCTGCCATATTATAACTAAATTTTATAATAATTATAATTGACAGATAAGAAGTTAAGTGCCAGAGAAAAACAGGGACCCAACTTTGCTTGGAAAAGGGAAGAAAAGGGAAGACTTCACAAAGGAGACCAAGGTGTGAGCCAGGGACCTAGAGGATAAAGGTCCCTTCTTCAGGAAGACAAGGGTTTAAAAAAGAACAACAACAACAAAAAAGTCCCAAACATTCCAAGGGAGAGAGAGCATGTGGAATAACTTGGGGGTCATCCTTCTCGGGTTGACCTTTGGGGGCCTTTTCCCCTTCAGTTCAGTTCAGTTCAGTTGGTCAGTTGTGTCTGACTCTTTGTGACCCCATGAACTGCAGCACGCCGGGCCTCCCTGTCCATCACTAACTCACGGAGCTTCCCCAAACTCATGCCCATTGAGTCAGTGATGCCATCCAACATCTCATCCTCTGGCGTCCCCTTCTCCTCCTGCCCTCAATCTTTCCCAGCATCAGGGTCTTTTCCCATGAGTCAGCTCTTCGCATCAGGTGGCCAAAGTACTGGAGTTTCAGCTTCAACATCAGTCCTTCCAATGAACACCCAGGACTGACCTCCTTTAGGATGGACTGGTTGGATCTCTTTGTAGTCCAAGAGACTCTTAGAAGTGTAGTTTTCTGCAGACCATACTGCCCAGACCATACAGTCTCTAAATGCCCTACAATCAAACTGACCTACATTTTTCCTGTGGTTACAATGAGAGGTTACATTTTCCACATTCATGAGCTGAAATGTAGTCACCTGGTGGATGAGAATGTTAACATATGCAGCAGAATGGCTGTGGATCCCTCTTTCATAGGGCATTTTGTTACTCCTTTTCCTGGTTTGTTTTGCTTTAGAGCCAAGCTGGATGTTCCCAGGGAGCTTTACAAAATGCTGATGCCAGTGTCCTTCCCTAGGGATTTGGATTTAACTGCTCTGGGGTGCAACCTGGGCATCACGAGGTTTCAAGAGTTCCCCAGGTGATCCCAATGTGCAGCCTGATTAACAATCACTGCTTTAGAATTGCTTCCACATTTCTGTCTTCTCCCATTTACTATGGGGTCCTGAGAAAAGGGCGTTATTCTTTGTTCATGCTCCACAGCTTCCACTGAAGTTCTTTACATTAATAATCGCTTATTAGCTATTGAATGAATTGACTCCATAAAGACAGAGAGCTGAAATACAGGCCTCCTACTCTAGGTGGCTCTGCTAGGAGACTTACAAGCAGAGATACAGAATCCCTGTGTGTTCTCCCCGAGCTGGAACGCTGGTGGCCATGGTGACAGGGCAACATGGCTCCTGAAGAGAGCAGGGCAGGTGAAACAAGTCACCCAGGTCAGCTCTCGTTTAAGGGCGAGCAGAGGCAGTTTAGGCGACCTCAGACAGCCTCCTGTACCCATTCGCAGAAAACATGGTCTGCCATATTATAACCAAATTCTAGAACCCTAAAGTAAATGTTAAGAAAGCTAACCCCTGCTCCATTAATTTGGAAATAAATATATCTTTAAGGGAGTATTTCTGAAATACAGGGGCTACATAATTAGTAGTTGTGTCTGGGTCATCCATATTCAGTAGTTTTAGCAGCAAGGAAAGCCTTCTTCACCTCTTTCCAGCTCATCCTGTCTCTTCCCAACCAGCCCTGAGACTACCACATGACACACCCGATTCAGTTGAAATTGAGGGCCCCTATTAATATATATCTTTATCTGTGTATTATCTAAGACAGGAATTATTCATCTGTTGGGCTCTAAGAGATGTGTTTTAATATACAGGTGGGGATAATGGTGGATGAGCTGACATGGTATAGAGCTAGGGAGTGAACGACCTCTGTAATGATGGGACCTTGTGTATATATATAAAATGATATGTCTGTCACTTCATATTGTAATTTTTATTTTGAGTGCTATCTCCCCCCGTTGGGTTATGAATTCCGTAAGGACAGGGATTGTGTCTTTACTTCTATATCCCTGTAGCACATAGATATTAATAAAGGTTTACTGAATAAATAAATGGGTAGATATGTTAAGAAAAATTATCCATTATTTGAAAATAAGGCACAGAAAGCATAGCATAATTTTTTAATATCATGCTAGGACACTGTTACATGGGCTTCCCCAAGGATTATTTAATTCTCTGGAAGAATGTATTTGTTCTTGATTTTGCTATTTACAATATGACTAGCACCCAGACATTACATGTAAACATGCAAATTTGTTTAGTAGAAAAAATAACCCCAAAGGTTATAGATTTATTGCCCTGTAGGACAATAACCAGTTTTGTGCCTCCTAGCAATCTTATGCTCACATTATTTAAAGAAACAAACAAATAGCACCCCCCTCCCTGCCAAATCCCCAGAAATATCCATTTATTCAAATGCTCTTGGAAGCAACCTTATTACCTCATCGGTTCCTTCAGTAATAAGTTAATGAATTTTTTACATTATGTTCATT